GTTCCTTCCTCATCAATAAAATTGGTATATATAATGCAGTTGAAGGGAAGTCATCATTTATTGATTTTCAAAAACCACTATTATTGTAGTGAAGCACTATACTTTACTACTCAAAGTCAAATCGTATTCATAATACTATTCAATAATGTCGGAAGGACTAATAACCAGTTTCCGGGTAAGTAAATTCAACATGAGTGCCATTTGATCTTTTATAAATCCGGTTTTGCTTTATTTGTATTGTAGAAGGATGATCGACATCCCGTGAAGGTTTTGACCGTATCATCGTCATCGGCAATTGAACAGATCAATGCTCAATCTGATCATTCTCGTCTGCAGCAAATCATGGGCTTATTTTCACAATATTATTCAAAGAAAGTTTTGGAAAATCCAGCAGCATGGAGAGAATATTTTAGAAAAATAGCTATTAATCCAATAGTATTCTATCAAGAAAGTGCCGTGTTGTTCTATGAAGATATTAAATATGATCAAGAACCATCCGCTGTTCAACCGATTCATGGTGATCTACACTGTCATAATTTTCATTATTGTTATAATTCAAATGACCAACCATTGTATGAAGTAAAAAGTCATAAAAATATTTATGGTCCATTCACCTGGGATTTAAAAAGATTATTAGCAAGTATTAGTTTAGTTGCTTATATGAAAGGCTTTAGTGATGATGAAAGTGTTATGGTATTGAACGCATTCAATAAGCAATATATTGAAACAGTTAATACATTTGAAACAAAACGAAAACAGACACTTATTAAACAACTATCAATTGATACATCAACAAGAAATACAAAAGGAATAATCAAACCATCACTTTTGAGAGCAGCGTCGATCAATGTCTGCACCGCTCATACCAATTGCAATAATGAATTTATACCCGTCGATTGGAATGCAATTGAAGATGTATTAGTAATGACTGATTTAGTTGAACAACTGGCGAAAATAACAGCCAAAATGCACTTGCATCCACTACAAGTGAATGATAAAAATCAAAGTGTTAAATTGGCTATTAACTCAGTTGAACAACAACAATTGCTGAATGGAATAACAAAATTTGCTATGAACTATGCTGAACTCACACTTCGAGATCACCGTCTCTTTTTCACAACATTTCGTAACACGAACGTTTTTTCAAGTATGTTGAGTCGAAGTTTACCCTGCACTGTTGAAGAATGCCAGCCTCTTCATAAGTCATTGTTAATAGTTGGAGGAGGA